AATCAACATCGAATAGAAACTCAATTTCAGCCTATCTAAGAAAATATGATTTTATGGAGAGTCAATAAATAAATAAATAAAACACAAGTGTCATATCTAGTGCGGAAGTTGAATATCACATTATAATAACAACAATTTTAGAGGAGTTTGTATAGTTTAGAAATTTACTCCTAAAGCTAAAACTTGGAAACTTTAATACTATAAAACTCATATGCGACAACTAAAATACACTTTACATTATATCTAATCTAATTTTTCATAAACGGATCAAACACATAAAGAGTATCATTGTATAACGGACAAAGTGCTTTTGGTGAAGTCTTCTTATATTTTGTCAAGTCTAAAGACCAAATAGGCAGATGTGTTCACTAAATCTACTCTAAAATTGTCTATTGATACTATTAAGAATAAATTGTCTATTGAAACTATTAAGAATGTGTTAGTGTTGAGTATACATTACTTAATATAGAATTGATTAGCATTTCAGCTCACACCAGTTATGTAGATATTATTAGTGGCCTCATTTGAGACACAACATAACCATACATTTCTTACAATCTAAATTAATGGAATCCCAAATCAATGGAATCCTAAATTGTCTGCCCTGAAGATGCTATGATGCCATGTTTTACTCTTTTTTCCAATTCCAATCCTGTAGGACATTCCACATATAGAAAATGTCAAGTCCAACAATTCTTTGATTCCACAGGCTCCTCTTTTCTAAATTCCATTCAATTATTTAACATAAACAAAAACAAATCATATTACAAGCACAATCTATGGCAAATGAAAGAGGTTTTGCATATGAGAACATTCCTTTTTTATTTACTAATCTTTTCTGTCAACAAGTCCATATTGCTACACCTACAATGGAAGGAAAGCAAATGCAAATGCTTTGATATTGAAAAAGAACGGTTGTCATTATCCAATGTACTAAAATAGTACATAAAAGCTTCAAGAAGGAACCTACTAAGAAAAGCCAAGGACATTATGAGTTGACATATTATTCATGTTATCCTATGCTTGAGTTCTAAAATATAATATGCTATAGAATTTGTGCCATTGATTAGTTTCATGTCAATCCATCATCTTTTGCATCTAATCCACCAAGACTAGTTTGCTTGACATTAAATTTAATAAACGTGCACATTCAAAGAATATATCATCGCATATTTAAATATATATTAGGAGAAATCGCTATTTAAATATATATTAGAAGAAATAAAGTTACATATTTTAACTCAACTGACAAAAATGTTGATATTATTAGATTGAACGTCAACAATATGGTTTGAACCTGACTCTCATAGTTGTGTGTGTGAGAATTTCTAGTGATTATTACCGATTCGTTTACGGATCACAAAAAAATTAAATTTAACATATTTTCTCCTTCAACTTCCCTTTGAAGATTTAAAGTATATGAAAAGAATTAATTGAGGGGAATGTGATATTTTAAAAGTGAATGATTATATCTGAAAACTTTATAAATATTGTCTTGAAGACAATCTAGTTGGTATCATCTTTTACCGTTATAATTCAACTAAAAGACATCATAAAGTAATTGAATTTATGACTTAAGAAAGTTATAGTAATAAATTAATTTTTTGAAAATTAATATTGATTTACGAGTTTACCTTTTTGGAGATATGGTTAATTTATGTTTTCATCACAATAATATTTATTAGACATAATTAGTCTTTAAATCCCTTAACTTTGATTTCCAAACTAAAAAATGTTATATAATAATCTCTTAAATTCATTTTCATTAAACCATTTGGTCTATTCTTAAAAAAAATAGAGCAAATCATAATTTCATACATAGTTATCATTGCTTTCCAAAATCACACTATAAAAACAAAATCTAAGTCACTCAAAAAAAAGCTTTCCCAAACATCAATGAAAAAGAAATCATAGATTTAATCTCCTAATAATTCAGTTTTATTGTTGAAGATCTCTCATTTTACTATAAATCGAAGTAAATATCACAGAAAAAAAGACTTGTACACATATACAAAACAGTAAAACTTATGGAAAAAAAAAAAAAAAACAATCATAACACTATAGCCACAACTTCATCCTCATTCCTTCCGTCAAAGTCACAAATCACATTGTTTTTTTTTTCAAATCATTAACACCCCCCAAACACTTATCAAATAACAACGAGTACACAACACAAACAAAAGTACCATTAATATTCATATTCACAAATAAAGGTGTTCAAATAAACCGGTTATTTAAATAATCTATATTCATATTTAAATCTGGTTATTAAAAACCGGTTAATTATTAGTATGATTTTAATCAAATCCATATTTTGGATATATTTTTAATATAGTTCTAACCAAATCCATAATTTTGACATCCATATCTAAAATAAAAACCAAATTAGTCAATTTTTTTCGGTAAATAAATTTTTTTCCAAGATGACTTAATTTTTTTCAGTAAATAAAAATGATTTTTTCAATATAAAAGAACTTGTACCAATTTTATTTAAAATTTAAAATTAATTTTTCATACAAAATATTCATATATATTTTTTATGTTTTTTATTTCTTCATCTAGATTATGTTAAACCTTATTCAACTCGATTATAATCTCATTAATATTATAAAATATATCAAAATCATTCTCTATTTAATCTTATGTGCCATTAATTCACAACACACTCCAATTTTTTAATACATTATATTAAGCTAATTGTTATATTTAAAGTACAAATGAACACAGTGTTAATTATTTTTTGCCTCAAATATATTTTTATTTAAAAATACTCTGTTTGTTATATTCCTTCAATATCTTTTCAAATGTTACTGTTTAATTTCTTACGTATATTAATTCATTATTAGATTTATTTTAATTTTTCTCTTTTTGTAATAATTATCTAAGAATAATTTTAATAGCATTTAATATTATCTTGAACTGACAATTAAAAAAAATAAAAAAATTATAAAAAAATACACTTAAAAACAAAAAAGAAGGAATAATTAATAAAAGTGTTTCGATTCTCTTAACAACTATTCTTTAGTATGATTAATAAAAACATTAAGTCATGTAAATTGATACAAGTTTTAAATTTTAATATTAAAGAACTTATTTTTAAATTAATTTTTTTAGTAAATAAAAATGATTTCTTTAAAAATTTTAATATAAAAGAACTTGTTTTAATTTTTTTCAGTAAATAAAAATGATTTTTTTAAAATTTTAAAATAACTATTTTTTTTTTAACATCAATATTTTTTTTTTAAAAAAATATTATGATTTTGAAAAAATCAATTTTAAAATAAAATTAATTATAAAATTAGTTATGGATATAACCTATTTATAACCATTTTAAAAAATAAAAACCAGTTATGAGAATTGGTTTTAATAACCGGGTGTAACATATAGATTATTTATGGTTATGGATTGGTTTTGAACATTAATCATCCATGAACACCCTTGTTCACAACGAAATTCAACATAAGAAATTAGAAAAACATGTACACAATACTGTCTGATTTTGTTTTTTCGATCACTGTAATCACATCACACGTCGGTGATTTTCTTGAAGTTTGTATATTTAAAGACAAAAGTAAAGTATTAATTTGGTAATATAGATTTACTTTTGTTCATACATTACCTTGTGATACCAAAACCGTTTTCAAGGGCTTTTAAGATAGACTGTTGCATAGAGTCCTAAACTTTATCATGGTTAAAGTGTTATTAAATAGTGTTTTATAAATATATGTTACTATTAAACCGTTGTTAAATAGAATTTTTATTTGTTTTATCACGGTTCAACCATTGCTAATCTAGGTTGAGTCTCCAAAAACTTAATGGCTCTTCACATGAATTTCATCATCATTTACTTGATTTCTAGCTTGACTGTGATTGTTTGAGACCAATATTTGGCTATAAAGATGAAATTTTCACAATATTTTTTATAAGGACTTTACAACAAATTTTGAAAGCCCTTCTTTTACAAAAATTAAAGCAAAAACTACTTTTAAAAAGTTCAATATTTGAGATTTCATCTATGGCATGTCACAGCCACATGAGGATTCTGAACTTCATTTTCATTGATGCTTAGTGTCCAATGTCTTAAAATTTCCCCCTTCTCTGTGCACCACTATATTCTTTTGTTTTTTTAAAGTGATTAAATTGCTTTTAGATTTGACAGCTTCTTCTTACTTTCCATTTTTATTAAGGTGGGGTTTATTGCTCATTCAATTTCAAAAAAATGTATAAAAAAGTATTAGATGTCATCAACAAACGCATCATTTCTCAGTTATTTGAATGTCATAAGTATTTATCTCGTTAAAATAAAAAACAGTAACGAAAGAGAAAAAGACAATTAATAACAAGACAATAAACATGATATTTATTCATGTCTATGTCTACGACTATAGAACAATTTTAGTTGAGTATTAATACTTGAGCGAGGTTCGCTACACTTCTTTGATGCCGCCTATAAAGCATGCTCAAGAAGCAAGAAAAAAAAAACAGAAGCACCTTATCGACATCAATATTTTGATTTTGAAACATCATTCCTCTTTCTTCTATTGCATTCCCACCAAAAAGATGCTTGTCATTGTTCATAGAATAGAAGGTTCAATTGTCCACCAAGAGAAAAAATAAAGGACAAACATAAAGAACATAAGTGACTTCTAACCTAAAAGTAATAAGAAAATGAAAATCTCATGTCCTATATTAGGCTAAAAATATCTTCACCATACATAATGAATCAACCTATAATATTTTGTACTAGCCATTAAAATGATTCTGGAATACTTTTCTTTCTATTGAAGAAGATCAGTCAAAAGAAAGCAAAAGGAATAGCTTAGAGCATAAATAGGAAACTAAAGTGTTTGATGTGATGTGACTTCAGAATTTGATCTTGCTTTGTTATCAATTATTCTAGAATATTAGTATTTTATATAAATCAACAGTGCTATAAGCTCAAGATTATATTACATAGCAATTAAGTTGCATTGTTGTGGAATAGAATTGCATTGGTGAAAATGAAGAGTTGTGAAGAATGGAAACCTTTTATGATAATGATGGCAATTGATGTTTCTTTTGCTGTTGTGAATATTCTTCTCAAGAAAGTCCTTGAAGAAGGAATGAACCATTTGGTTTTTATCACGTATCGTCTCTCGATTGCTACTGTTTTTGTAGGCTCGATCGGTTACTTTAAGGAAAGGTATGTGTACCTTCTTCAATCCCTCATTCAATGTCCTTCGTTTTCTTCTTTTTTTTGTGTTTGATATTGTTAGCATGCACTCTGGATCTTTTGATCTTGAAGATGTATGATAGAATAAGTGAGCTTTTGAGAAACTTTCAATGAAATTGATTTGATTGTAACTTATAAGTGAAATTGATGTAGAGTGATTGATTTGATGTTAAATTCAGTATACAGATTTTCAACTCAATTTAAATGTTACTTTTTAAGCTTAATGTTAAATCAAAGTTTGAAGACAGAATCAAATTTTGCATGACACTAAAAGCGTGTTTGTTTCTGCGTCCAAAATGTTTTCGTCGCACGTCTGCAATATTTCTACCGAGGTTTTAAACACCATCTAACAAACACTTGCATTCTTTACTAAGCATATGTTTGATATCACGGTGAAAAACATGCAACCGCGCGTTTTGTTGAATCGAAAAACCTTTAGATTCTCACGTAAACATGTCTCATGATGCAAAAAAAATAGATAAGTAGACGTGCGCGGAAACATAGGCTAAAATAACATTTGACAGAAGAAAAACCAATTACGAATTCATGATGCGCTCCAGGAAGAAACCAAATACATGCTAAATCTACATCTATATATACAAATGAAGGAAATCTCTAATCATTTGATTATGATCATATTTTTATTGCAGAAATAGCAGGCCACGACTCACATTTCGAATTTTATGCTACCTCTTCTTCAGTGCCATTGTTGGGTTAGTCATAAAAATTAAAACACATTTTATGTTACTTCTTCCACACCAGCAATTTTTCTTTTGTGGTTGTAACTTATAACCATAGTTGTAGTGAGACGCTTATCGAATACTTTCTTTATAGAGCATCAGTCACACAATACTTCTTCCTCTTGGGAATCCAGTATACTTCAGCTACATTTGCTTGCGCTTTTGTCAACATGGTGCCCGTGGTCACATTCCTATTGGCATTGCCATTTGGGTAAGAATCGTCAAACCTTATTTGTCTGGTGTCTGACACGTATCACTGTTAGTCACCAGTGTTGTGTTCAGTATCTGTTTCTTCGTAAATACTTCAAGAGAGTACCGAGTAACAATGAATTGATATAAGCTCTTGTTTGTTTCTACTATACAGATTAGAGACTGTGAACATCAAATGCAACAGTGGAAGAGCCAAGATTCTTGGTACATTGGTGTGTATAGTTGGAGCATTGATGTTGACACTTTTCAAAGGAAAGGGTCTGTTTAATTTTTCTCACTCTGAGTCATCATTGAAGCTACTAGCATCTACAAGAGCACCAGAGAAATGGACTATTGGTGTCATAGCTTTGATTTTGGGAACACTCTTTTGGTCTTCTTGGTTCATTTTACAATCTAAAATAAGTAAAAGATATCCATGCCAGTATTCTAGCACCGCAATCATGAGTTTCTTCGGCGCCATTCAATCAGCTGTCATTTGCTTGTTCATTGATCATAACTTGTCTATATGGGCTCTCAGAGGAAAGATACAAATAATTGCTATTTTGTATGCGGTAAGTTCGATTTCCTTTTCACTCGTTAGCATAATACAAAACTACATTTTCTCTGTAGGTGCGGATGCAGGCACGTCAGAGACTAAGTAGTTGGTGTTCTAACAATTGTGTTTACAGGGAATAGTTGGATCAGGTTTGTGTTTTGTGGGCATGTCATGGTGTGTCAAGAAGAGAGGTCCGGTCTTTACCGCAGCATTCAGTCCATTTGTTCAGATAATGGCAGCCATGATTGATATTCCTGTCTTGCATGAACAACTCTATCTTGGAAGGTGAGTTCGATTTATTTTACTTTTCGAGTGTGATTATGTGGTTATAATTATGAAAAGATAAATAAATGAATATAATCACATGTGTCAGTGTCACTGATCACGTGTCAGACATCAGATTGAGAGGTGTCGGTGCTTCAGAGTGTAATCTAGATGTTAATGTATGTAATTGATATTTGAATGTTTAGTGTGGTGGGATCAATCTTGGTGATGGTTGGACTATACATTCTTCTATGGGGTAAGAGCAAGGAAGTTCAGAAACGTTTGATTAAGCTTGCAGAGGAAGCTGAAAAAACCAAAGAACAAGAGCCACAACCTCAAATACAAGTCTTAACAGTGTCTTGTGACTCACGGTGTCAATAACACTACATCAAATAGCATTTGGATTTGTTTATGTTAAGGAGTTTCCAAACAACATTATTCTGGTGAAAATCTCAATTAAGTTTGTATTAGTTATAATTACTTAAAGGATGCACCAGAAAAATGTGTAAAATAACAATGAAAGCAAGCGGAAACTGTTTGTCGCATATTTAGTGATTCATTATAACTCTGCCTTTTGGATATTGAAAGTGAAGGAGAGAATTCAATTTCATATATAGATTAAACTCTCTCAAGCTATACATACAATTGAGAAAATAAAGATATGAATTTTTTTAAATGTTGCAACTTTAGAAAAAATATATATATTCCAGCAATTTTATTAAAATATAAGGATTACACAAAAAGAAAGCGGACAATAAATGTGTCGCTGGTATAAAGATATGTTGATAGTTGAAATCAGTGTTTTAAAAATTGGATCGGACCGGGAACCAGAACACTAGTTGGTCTGGTTCAATTAGCGGATCAGTCTCGTCATTGAACCGGGAAAATCGGAAAAACCAACGGTTTAATTGTTCTTTTTTTTTACTTTTTTTTTTAAATCTTTTTTTTTAAATTTTTTTTTAATATATTTAGTAGTGTATTACTTAAATAGTATTCTCACATAAAAAATTTTCGTTAGTGACACATTACCGACTTTATTGACTATTTATTATTTTTGTTAATACATTTTCTTAAATAGTTTGTAACTTTGTGGTTAGTAACAAATTAGTTAACTTATTATTTTAACTTTTTAGATTGTTATATATTTTATCTTTTTATATTTTGTCACTGCTAATAATTTTAATTAATTATATTTAGTGTCAAAATATTAACAATAAAAAAGGCATGTATTTTGTTGAAAGGGAAAGTGAAATAGCATAAACATATTGAATTTTATTTGGTTTTCTTTTTAGGAGAATCATATTTTACTTACAAATAGTTACCTCTTATTTCATAATAATCAATAAATGATATAATTGATGGGGAAGCTGTTGCAATTAGATTTTGTTTGCAATTAGAATTTGTAATTTTGTATTATTTTGTTATGTGTGATACATTTGTTTAAAATTTGAATTTAAATTATGAACTTGTGAATTTATGATATGATATTTTCAAAAAATTTAAGTACTAGTTATATTTTTTTAGAAACTGAATCATCTGGTTCGACCGGTTTTATATCTATATAATGTCAGGTCTATTCAATCGAGTTATCCGATTTAATCTGGTTTAGTCATGCGGTTCGACCAGTGACCCAGTGGTTCGACCGGTAAACCAGTGACCCAATACCCTCACCGGTTTGATGACCTGTCCGGTTTTTAAAACACATTGAAATATGTTTTTTTTATGTTTGTTTTAATTGAAGTAATTTGGAGGATTGTATATTCCATCGTAAAACTTTCAGTCTTCAGTTTCACAAGTGGAGAAGTTTTAGTCAAGTTCACACATACATGTTTTTCTCCTACCAACCCACACACCAAAACAATTGTTGACCTTAGTGTCTATCTTCTCTCTTTTGTTGGTCGGTCGAGAAATTCACAACGTCTCTTTCTTCACACATACTCTCGCTCGCCAATATATATATATATATATATATATATATATATATATATATATATATATATATATATATATATATATATATATATATATATATATATATATATATATATATATATATATATATATATATATATATATATATATATATATATATATATATAAAGTCATCTCTAACAAATTCATGTTGGTATTTGAAAACTGAAAGTTCCTTGCAATAAAAAGTGTGTTCCCTAATGGTAATAAAGCATGTCGTACAACAAGCAAAGCAAATCTAATCAATAGGAAATAAGAGAATCATAAGACGATATATAAGGGTAGCACAACACTTTATCAGTGACATATGTTGACTTATACCATTAATATAAATATGCAAGAGAAAATCCTAAGCACCTACTACTTAGAAACATTCAACATTTGCTTTTTGTATTAGAGTCATGTTAAATTTTACTTCCATATCCTGAACATTTATATAAATAAAAAATGCATTCGTAAAAACATGTTGTGATTTAGAAGGGATGGTGCCCTTGCTAGTAAAACTACTAAGGTTAAAATATGAAATCTGCTTTGGACTAGCCAAAAGTCCAAATGACCAAGACCCAATCCATCTCAAATCCACTATACTCGATCCAAAGTATAAAAATAATTCACATGTGAAGAGCAAGGTACATGATCTCTGATCTCCAATTTCACTATACTCATCTTGAATCTTGAACTGACTTGTGCGTTGGAGTGCTAACCATGTAGATTTATCCCGCACTGTCGTAAAGGAGATCGTAGTCATCGTTCAAGATCAACAGTTATCCAACTCTCTTCATTTCTAGTTCTTTTCTAGAGTTAGAGTATCTATTTCTAGTTCCTAGACAGAACAATGGTGCCGTATGTGAGAATCGACTTTTGATTCCTAAGTTTCCACGAAAATCACATTCTTTCTTAAAACACCATCAAACAAACTAAAAAGTGCTAGATCTGGATTCTTCTGGCTCATATCTAAATCTCTGATTTACCAGTTCGCAACCTCCTTAGGTCACCAAATTAAGAACGAAACAGTCTTTGATTTCTATGTTTTTCATGAATTCACGTTCGCTTTCCATATCCACCGTTCACAACTTCCTTAGATCTCAAAATTGAGAAATGTTTGGTAGCGAAAACGGAGGTTTGTCACAATCAATTCAACCGACCACTATTTCTGCTACAATTCCTCGGAATCCAAATCTCTGATTCCCTTGAGAACCCCGCGGAAAAGAAAAGGAAAGGTCAATGGTCTAGATCTAAGGTTACGCTAAGTTCTAAAGTCAATTTACATGAAGGTCGAGCCGAGGATTCACAATTCACCATCCAACCAAGTTTTGTCCATACTCATCACCGCTCCCGGGGTGGTCACCGGGGCAACATCAGAAGATACCACAAGTTCATAGTTAATGGCGCTCGGATACCAAAAGTTCATAGTTAACGACGGGCGTCGATCCAACACTAGGGTGTATCATGGGGGTGCCACAGAATTTCCACTTGATGCACCAGGGACTCCTCATACCAGATTAGATGGCATAGTTCCACCAAAAGCATCCAAATAAAGATATCCTAGATTCAAATTGCAAGGTGTCTAGTCAGTAACAACATTCAATTACCATTGTGCGTCCCCTTTCCTAAGGAAAGACTAGACAGGCTTGTAAAGAAACATTGTCCACGTCCGACCAAAATCCTGGAACTGAGGAAAGCCGACTAGCAAGCCAAATTCGCCACAGGTGGACCTTGGATCTACTTGTAGTAGATACCCGCTCTGAAATAGGAAGGAAGGTAGGGAATCACTACCCCAATGATCAAAAAGTGTTTTGCCAAAGCATTGTATAGAGCAATTCAACGGGCTCAAGATATCAATGGTTGTTTTAAAACTATTCCCTAGAGCATGCGACCTTTCAAACATATAACAACAATTAAGTGTGGGCCAAGATATCTCGACACCCCTTCCAACCAAGAAAGGCACTTTGAAGCGCAAAGTACACTCAACCTATGTCCCAGTCTAAATCCAACAACCAAAGACCCCAAACATCGTCTATTTAGGCCAAAGCGGACGATTGAAGGTTATCAACGTCGATGTTCCATTATTTATTTGTAACAAAGTCAACTCATTATTAACATGAAAATGTGTGTGTGTGTGTGTGTGTGTGTGTGTGTGTGTGTCTTTTTATCCCTCTATTGTGTGCTTGTTTTCCTCTTTCTCCTAAAATGTCTAGAATAGGAGAGCAAAGATGAAAATGCATGAATATGTTTCTGATACATACTTTATGTACTTCTGCGATTCTGATACGACTTGGATGTACTATAAGCCTATTGTGTATCTAATACATGCTTAATGAAACGATGTGATTCTGATACGACTTAAAATGTATTGTCAGTATGAATGTGTATACTACATAGACTTAACACTTCTATGCAATTCAGATATGGCTTTAACATATTCCATGTCTTATTGCATATTCGATGCATACTTAACACAATTTTGAGATTATGATATGGCTTAAACGCACACCTCTCTCAGATGCTTATTAAACCCACTTCTACATAGGTGGTGCACCCGCCCCTTGGATTTAGCCAATCATAAGGCGTAGGTGATGGATCTCGGAGACTTCCGGCTCGATCCAAGCTAAGCCTCGGGGTAGGGATGATGATCCTACCCTTGGCTAGGGAATTATCTTCTATGAAGTGGAATATAATATAAAGTACGATCACATTATACCAACTTCACCAATCTCAGGTCTCATCCCGGGTAATTCAAGCAAATAATCAAACACAATGTATAAATCAATCCTCTACTACAACAAACTCTAAATAAAGTGGACGAGTATAACAACCAAAAATGGCAACTAACATTATTTAATGCACCAAGTTGTAAAAAGCATAGAAATTCCATAGGCATATTTGTGAGTAAGTAATGCGCCTAAGAGGGGGGTGAATTAGGTTCTTTGAAATTTTCTGGTTTTAAGAGGGCTATGTTACTTTATTTTTAATAAAGAGATGATTTGAAATCTTGTAAAGGCAGAAAGTAAAAGAGACACAGAGATTTATAGTGGTTCCCCTCACACCCCGAGGGTACTCCACTCCCCTTTCAACACGAAAGAGATTTCACTATAGTTAGAATTAATGTACAATTTGTTCTAACCTATAAGAGATCAAAGGTTCTTAAAACACCTTTAAGATCTAAACACTAAGTGCAATGAGAACAATCCTCTCTAATGCACACACTTGCTTTCAACAATCCTGAACAGCAAGGGGAAATACATACAATTCTGATTTTGTAAAGATTTGAAATAATGTATACAGATGTTTATCAATGATGAGATTGATCTTCTCTTTCAATGAGAAATTCCACAAGTTTCTAAGACTTATCTTTTAGATGTGGAAAGATAAAATTAGGATACAGATTTTGAAAGAGAATTGAAAGAGGT